ATATATATATATATAAACTTTTCACGAATTGGCAAATAGGCTGAATATTTTATGTTGCACGATACACCATATTAAAATCCATCCAATATTAGTAATTCTGTAGTGCGGATTCAGGCATTTGCCAAAAAAAACTAACACCACCCTATATAAATACAAGTATTGAATTAATCTGCCACTATTTGTGTTATATTGATGAAACTTGCATGATAACGATACATCCAAACGCCAAATATTAGGCTAACATCTATAATGAAGGAAGAGAGATTTACAAAATAAAGAAATTATCTGTATTAAAAAATATTTAGCAATTTAAACAGACTGATCTGAACGTCCCATAAATCACGATGCGTGTGTGAAATGAGTAATTAGTCTTGGGCCTTGCCACATCACGCACTAGGCTTCTTACACAAAGTTAAGCTTGACCTGGTTTCCTTACCTAACAGACTGCGAGGGAAAGAGAAAAGCAAATTTATTTATTTATATACAAGAAGGTACATTGGGTTAGAGAGCATAGTATTTACAATCTTGTAAAGCCACTAGTACGCGCAGCGTTTCGGGCAGGTCCTTAATCTAACAGATAATTTTAAGTACGTAAATTACTACGTACGTAAATTCGAAGGTGGTCTTTACCATGATTGTAAATAGAAATAATGGTCGTTTATCATTACCAGGTTAAGAAACTGATGTCACGTGTGATGACCTGGGGCCAGATTCACCAATGCACTTACGAACCTGTACATCTTTTCTCAATCTTTGGCGGCTTTGTTTCCAATATTTAAATATTGAGCTCCGAAGCACCAGGAGACTGTTTATAACAATAACAACAGTTAAATGGGAAGTTTTCATTCTTGTAAACTGTTTAAGAAATGTAACCAAAGCCGTCAAAGATTGAGGAAAGATGTACACGTTCGTAAGTGCTTGCGCAAGTGCTTTCGTGAATCTGACCCCTGTTTACTATAGCAGTAATGGGATGCAGCAGCACACCCGCCTGGATGGCGTCCCACCGAGCCAGTCTTATCGCAGTACGCGTTCCCTCCAGTCCTAACTCCGTGCTCTCTTCCTTAAGAATCTAATATAGCACACTGCTTTTCCTTCGGAGTAAATAAGACTTTCCCAGGTACCGCTTCCAGTGGCGCTCAACATCTGCAGCCTAACATCTACCTTAGGAGAAGCTTATTATAAGAGCTGTCCGTCATTATCCTTCATCAAATTTGTCTAGCAGACTCTCAACGCCCGCAAGAATAACCAGGTTTTAATTTATTTCATATCCAGTTCTCGGTTTTGTCCTTCCAGAAAACCTTTAAACGCTCGTCCGTCATCTCAAGATCAACTTCTAGCAGTATAAGGATTTCTGAACTCTGGTACTCCAGTATTTTGAGTTTATTTTTTAATTACATTTGGCCGAACCTCTAAACGTCATCCATCCTCTTAATACTATTACCTTAATCTAAAAACTGGTATACAACTTTATAGTGGTCAAATGCCAAGTTCCAATATACCAAATGAGATAATAAACAATCTTCCAACGAATAACTTCACAAACGTAATTATTCTATTACAACGCTGCGATGCAACCTTGGTTGTTCATGCACTGTGCTTCTCTTATGAGAAATATGCTATAGATTTGTATTAATTAACCATATAAAAATTACATCAAAATCCCGGTAACGCATAAAGTTAACATTATGAAGTACGACTTAGAGGAAGCTAGTGGGAATTCATCTGCCTGCCAAACTATATGCTACAAGAAAGAAGAAACTACCTATGGCCCTTCAGTTGAGACAGCAGAATCCACGAGAAGTGTAATTGTGAACGGCCACCAGACCTCGCCCGAGGGACACTCCCGCCAAAACTTGCTTCATGAAGACTCCAGGTCCGCGATAGCCCCCCAGGTATGCATCACTGTTTATATTGTTTTTAAACACGTATTCACGCAGGTTTCATGTATATTAAATCATAGTCTGAGGAAATCTCTTAAAGTTTCTTACTCTCAATTACTTGTTATCCAATTTGGCTTTTACTTCTTATCAACGCTAACGAACTTTTCGTTAACATTTATTTGAATTTACTTTTTCACTAATGGCATTTACACAATCAAAATAACTGCATCCAAAGACAAAATCTCTATTACATGAACTAAAAATCATTCTTGGATCCATCACCATAATTTAATAATAATCTTCGTTATCATCTGCCTTGAGCAGCATCAACCAACTTGTTGCAACAGGTAAAATTTTTCACTGTGCAGGAAATAACCAATTTGTATTTCTAATTTGTTCTTTTAATCTATCTGTATAAGAGTGTGTGTTCAATGTTGGAGACCAGCCACTTAGTCCTAACCTCACAGAACTTTGCATGGCAATTGTGATTAAATTTTGCTAGTCTCATTAGGTGGTCGTACCCGACCAGCCTCTCTTCCCCCTTCTCTCTTGACCTCTACACCTTCTCCTCCCCCCTCCTGTCTTCCCCCCCCCACCTCCTGATCTCGCACCCTCTTCATGAAAGCAGTGAGCAAGAAATATGCAACCAAATGTGCGTAGAATTTACCCTTCGTTTAAATAATATTTATTTAGATATTGACATGCACATAAAATGTTCAGACGACAGATTTGCATTCAGGGCACATTCTCATTACAGCGATGTAGTGTGGAGTGAGAATAGTTACAGTGATAGGCATATATGGGGAGGGTATGTGTGGGTGGAGAGAGGGAGGATGTAAGTGGGAAGGGGTATGATGTCAAGATGCTTATAGTGAATGTGCTGTGAAAATGGTTACAGTGATGAGGCAAGACGGGACGATTAGAGGGTGTATCGGAAGACATGAAGAGGGGTGTAGGGAGACCTAAGAGGGTGTGTCTAAGAGGCTTAGGCACTGGATCGTCCCGGGCACCGCCGGGTATCCCCCATCTTGTCATTCATGAATAAAACAAACCTTGCAGCCAGCAAGTCATGATCATCTGACACAACACACAACATTCAGCCATCACGCCGCCAAGTAGGTCAAGTCTGCTCTAAAGCACATCACTCCAGCCTCACCAACTCGTCAACAATGACGCGCCACTGTGCACTACAATCTACCTCCCGAGCCGCGATACAAATTTTGACGTCCAAATAACATTTCACCTTTTGCATTAAACGTACATATAACATTTTATATTTTATGCTGGTTAAGTTAGGCTAAGTTAACTTGGATTGGGTTGGGATGTGTTAGGTTGGGATGCGTTAGGCTTACTTAAGAGTAGAGATGAGGTGGGGTAGCATCCTGGGAGGTGTCTCCCAGCATCACCTCTCGTGCAATCTTGAGGAGGCGAGGCCATTCCCACAAACTGAATTTATCATAACCCAGAAGGAGGACTTTCAGATTTTATGAATCTTACCGGTCTTCTGCTTTTAGTTATTTGTTACGTCTGCCTTTTATGGAGCATCGCTTAATGTTGAATTGTAAAAACAATACTTTTCATTTTATTCCACGTTTATGGCAAACTGTTTTGAATATATTGCTGTTTTTATTAGTTTACCAGAGGGGTACTTGGAGGTACCCAGGATTCTCTCTCTAACCACCTTCCATTCCAATTTATTAACCCTTCTTCCTAACCCCCTCTCCATCTTTTACCGCAATTCCCCACCCCTTCCTCCCCCTTTTCCCGATCTGGCATCCAACCTTGAATAGACTTTCATTGATATATGTAGAAGGGGACCCAGCGGGGTCCGAGACTGAGTTTCTCTCTTCAGCCCCCCCCCTCTCTCTCCGCTCTTATCCCCCCCCCTCTTTCTCCCTCCCCACTCTTTCCCCTCCCCCAATTTCATTCCCCCACCCTCGCCGTATCATCATTTCCTTGTCCTGCCTCTCCCGCTCATCATAAAGTTCAAGTATGTTTATTGAGATAAGAAAGAAATACATCTCAAAGGGATAGAGTAGCTTAGGCCATTTCTACTCCCCTCTTAACGCTCATCATCATCATCTCCCTTTTCTGCCTGTTCCCTCATCATCTTATCTTGCCTCAAATAATGATCAATGATTGGTGCAACTTTTTTAAAATTCAATATTCATTAATTTCTTTAAAAATATAAACACGTACATTATAAATCAAGTTGATAAATTTTGACTAACATTTCCGTAACTATTACTACTGGTGTTAGTGTTAGTATTACTATTGTCATTACTTCAATAGTGTTTTACTAATTTATACAACCTCTGAAGTTGTAAGCTAAATGGCTTATTAATTGTATAAAAATAAAATTTTGATTTACACTTGTACAGCTCTTCAGCCCAGCCAGAAATGAAATCGTTTGTAAAAAGTTGTTACTGATGAAGCCAGTATAACTATATACCAGAACTATACTGATTAGGTATAATACATATATCTCTTCCCATTTGTATTTTCTTTATAAGAGTTCTTTCTTGTACAGCCATTAGCATGCGTAGCATTTCGGACATGTCTTTAATCCTATGTTCCCCGGAATACGACCCCGCCAAATCGTTTAACAACCAAGTACCCATATTTTTTTACTGTTGGGTAAACAGTGGCTACAGTTAAGGATTAATTGTAGTAAATCGCCCAGTAAATCCTTCCCGGCCAGGATACGAACCCAGGGCAAAGCGCTCGGCGAGTGTCTTAACCACTACACCACAGGGACTGCAAAGTTTTTTTTTTTTTTTTTTTTTGAGATATATACAAGAGTTGTTACATTCCTGTACAGCCACTAGTACGCGTAGCGTTTCGGGCAAGTCCTTAATCCTATGGTCCCTGGAATACGATCCCCTGCCGCGAAGAATCGTTTTTTCATCCAAGTACACATTTTACTGTTGCGTTAAACAGAGGCTACAGTTAAGGAATTGCGCCCAGTAAATCCTCCCCGGCCAGGATACGAACCCATGACATAGCGCTCGCGGAACGCCAGGCGAGTGTCTTACCACTACACCACGGAGACTGCTAGAAACTTAAAAGTTAAGAAACTCTGGTCTACTTTTCTTTACACAGGTGTTTGCAGTCCTGGTTATGGCACTCATGCAATTAGAAATCGGTGTGATAGTGGGATTTTCAGGGATCACGCTGCCACAGATGACGGATCCGGAAACACACAACCTCTTCCTAAACCCGTCAGAAGCAGCTCTTTTTGGTAGGAAGACCCTGATGGTACAGTACGTTTACCAGGTTGGCTCTGAATGATCCTCGTACAGTACGCCTACCAGGGGTGACTGAGCAGCCCTGCTATCGTTATTTCTTACTGGAGAGTGGCTTTAAACTTTTGGTATATCACATAGAATAATATTAATTTGTTTACATACTAGGAGATTGAACTTATGGTATAATTCAATATATATCAGAAGCCATCGCGTTTTCTAAAAATATATCTGTATTATTTGCCCAAACAGTAGTTATTGTACTAAAAATCCGTAACACCATTGCAGGAAGTCTCGTGAACGTAGGAGGTACTGCTGGGTGCGTCGTGTGTGGACCTCTGTTGGTGAACCTCGGTCAACGAGTGACCCTCCTCCTGGCCATACCCTTCCTCGTGGCTTCCTGGCTCGCACTCGCTCTTTCCAATAGTGTCTGGCTGCTCCTGACAAGTCGCACCATTCTAGGTCTTATTATGAGCATCCTGCAATCTAGTACAGGCCAATACATCGCCGAAATCGCTCACAAGAACGCACGTGGAACTCTCGCTGGAGCTATTTCACTTGCTAGACAAACTGGTGGTCTAATGGTAGCTGCCCTAGGAATTTCGAAGCTCGATTGGCGACAAATGGGCTTAGTTTACTGCGGTTTATCTGCAATTCCTTTCTTCGGCCTCCTCCTCTTGCCGAACTCCCCCCGCTGGCTCGTTTCTCAGGGCCGCGTTACCGAAGCTCAGAAAGCTCTCAACTTTTTCAGAGGTAAGCATTATGACTCTGAAGAAGAGTTAAAAGGCATCACACAACACGCTGGAGATTCTAGGAGGGGTGACAGCTCTTGGCAGCAAGCACGGCTAATCTTGGAACCAGCAACTCTACGCACGTTCTGTTTAGTGGCAATTTTAATTCTCTTGATGTCATTGAATGGAAGTTTTGCTATGACAACATATTTAGTGCCTATCTTCCAATCGACGGAAATCAGCTTAGATCCATACATCACTGCCATAATATTTGGCTCCTTCAAGGTCCTTGGAACGTTTATTCACCTCTGTATAATTGACCGAGTGGGACGTAAGCCCATATTAATACTGTCTTATTCTGTATGTTCTTTGTGTATGGCTGCTTATGGTGTATACTTGTACATGAAGGAGTCCCGGAATGTTGATAACATTTGGTGGCTCCCACTTGCTGCAGTATTTATATACATTTTATTTATCGGTATTGGACAACCGGTTTTTTCTGTATTATGTATTGAATTATTTTCTACATCGTGTCGATCTATTACTGGTTCATTAATAGGTTTAGTAATGATGTTCGGAATGTTTGTAGCATCCCAAACGTTTCCAATGACAGTAGAAGCACTGGGAGAACATGGAACGTTTTGGATCTTCAGTGGTGTGTGCGCAACATTAACCATTGTCAGCGCTGTTGCTCTGTCAGAGACACGGGGGCGCTCCCTGGAGGAGATCACAAGCAACCAGGCTTCGAACCCCAAAAGTGACAGTAACACTTTACCTCTTTAAACCCGGTAAGGTTTCTAGTAAGAATGGCGGAGCACAGAATCTTCTGGGAAAACCACTAGGTTTTAATACTTTACTTTGATCTTTATTACGGGATTATCCTTAATTTAGCAAATGTTAAAAAAAAATCCACGTTAAAGAAATTTAAAATTGCAGCAATGGCTCATTTGTGACGTTCTTACATAGTCAAAAATAACATTATTTTACACAATTATAAACAAATAGACTTATTTGGTATCCTATAAAAACGCAAACCTCTTGACTTCCAGTGCCAAAACGACTCATTGAAGCTTCATTACTTAAATAAAATTCTGCTACAATATATCTTTTAATTACTCTTACTTTTATCTGTTTGATTAAGGACATGCCCGAAACGCTGTGTTTTTAGTAGCTTTGAAACAATGTAAGAACACTGATGTTATGTTCTCTCAACCCAATATACCTTCTGGTATATAAATAAATAAATAAATTGAAGCTTTTTCTCCAGTTCTTGGTTTATACAGAATAGCCGCCTTATCAATGAAACACCACCTTGTATACCGATACTTTTTCTTAGCATGTATTTGCATTTACCTTCTATCTCTTGTATGTATAAATGGTCACAGGAAGATTAAGTTGCGAGAATTTTACCATCAGTAAAATCCACACTAAAATTCATTGACTACTTGACTGGAATGACCCAATAATGGATGAACTCGGTGCATGAAGTACGATCAAGCTCAGAAGCTTGATATACCGTGTGATCATCAATAACTGCAATAAAAGTAGCTCTTCAGCCCCCGGAATATGTTGAATAATTTCCTATGGTGTGTAGCTGGCAGGTGAATGGCAGTATTTCTGTGTCCAGACACATTTTAACGAGGATTTATTGTATCCAGCCCGTCCCCCTAAGGTTTCCCCAACGTCAAGAAACTGTCTTATTAAAATTGCCCTTATCCCAACCTACAAGAGGACCCAAAACAGAAAAAGGGACAGTACTGTATGTCCATTTCACGAGCCGCTACCTTTTTTGCCCTTTGGTAAGACAATTTTTGCCCTTAGGTAGAGTATACGTCACAATGCGACGTTCTATTAGGAGGACTTGTTGCCCTGACAATATCCTTAAATATTTGAGCCATGGAAAGTTTAAATTAATATTAGATCTTATAAAATTATCGCATTATTTATCCTATATGTTTTCTCCTTATCAATTCACCCAGTCTATTCCATGAAGTTTACTTCTACGTTTAAATTAACGTGTTCCGTGGTGGAAAAACGAGTGTGTTCGATGTCTTCATTACCCACGGTCAGCCTGGTCCAACGAAATGTAAACTACGGAATGATTAATAAAACCAACTGAACAATTCACCAAACAATTTGCAGCGCTGCACATCAATGCTGGAGATCACACGTAAAACTATCAAAGTTAATACACCAATTATATCGATTTTTTTTTTACAAAAATTTACAGGCAAATAGTCAATAAATAGTTCCTGTACTGCATATTAAAAACCCTGTACCTGCTAAACCGGTATACTTTATAAATGGGTATGTTCAACTTTCTAAATACTACACAAGCAATTCTTATCTTCCCATTATTTTGTCTTTCGTAAATATAGTACTACACATAACTGGATAAAATTGAAGTTCATATTGTAAATCCTTCCATTAAAGGCAAATCAGTATTTAAAACACTGGCATCAAAATGCCTTCAGAATCTATAAATGATTTGCGTTTAGACAATCAGAAATGTTTACTTACCGACTTAGTCAGAATTCTTGACAATATCCGAGTACTTGCAAGACTCTGGAACCTTCAAACTCCAAGCTCGTATATAACACTATTGACGCCTCATGAAACACCAAACTCGCATATAACACTATAGAGGCCTCATGAAACACCAAACTCGCATATAACACTATAGAGGCCTCATGAAACACCAAACTCGCATATAACACTATAGAGGCCTCATGAAACACCAAACTCGTATATAACACTATAGAGGCCTCATGAAACACCAAACTCGTATATAACACTATAGAGGCCTCATGAAACACCAAACTCGCATATAACACTATAGACGCCTCATGAAACACCAAACTCGCATATAACACTATAGAGGCCTCATGAAACACCAAACTCGCATATAACACTATAGAGGCCTCATGAAACACCAAACTCGCATATAACACTATAGAGGCCTCATGAAACACCAAACTCGCCTATAAATAGTTCTTCGACAACTTTCAGTAATGAGTTACGATTAATGTCTTTGTATGTCTAAGGTAAATACAATTATAACGTCTCCTATATGAGTTTTCAAAAGAGATAACCACAAGACACAACTGAGCCGGCCGACGGTCGTCACTGGAGGCCAACAGTTAAGCGACGAGTAGCGTCAAGAAGCAACTCGTCCGGAACCGTTCAGATGTAGCGAACGGATCAATGGTATTTGTTATATTACGCTGCGTGATGAAACACGGCAGTTCTAAATCAGAAATTAAATATAAGTAATGAGTTTGTGCACGGTTAAGTTTGATTTAGGGAGTATTTACTGTTACAATTGAAAGGTATTGGCCATTGAAATTGAATTGGCCGCAGCTTGGGCACGCAAAGCCTGAGGACGGACGGCACAGAACACCTATGGGAAAACAATAACTTTGGTTGCCTTTTTTTCTCGTACCCTCTACAAAATTAGTAGTACAAAACGTGGACTTTTTTTTTGTACAATAGTCCATATTTTGTACTTTTACCATAGTAACAATAGATACTGTAATTGAACGACAGGCTGCATTTTACTGGAATGTTTTCCTTCAACAAATTATCCTAAACATTATCGCATAATATACAATTATTTCAATACTAAATACACACTTTTTTCAGCATTGCCATATTACTAACAATAACATAACTTTTATATAACAAACATCATAAAGAAATTGACCATATGGACAAAGTAAATACTAGGCATCTAACTGTTGGAGTCAAGAGATTTGCGACTCTAGAAAATTATTAAGGAATATTTGTTGTGTACTTTAAACTTTATTTTCAAAGACGACTATATAATTATTTCATTGTTGGCAATTACTATACTTTTTATATTATGAGCAAAATTTAATGGACAATGCATATAACACGTAAGAAATTTTGATATAAAAATATCAAATTTGATAAATCTTTATGCCAGATATCATTTTTAATATGTTACCTTTTACAGGAACTCAAAATGTATAATAATATATGGTCTTCGTTTGTAAATGTCGTTACAAATAGCCAGTTTCCTAACTATCTGAAAACGAGGCCTAATTAATTTAGTCATTTACGCAATCAATATGCTCATTTTATTAAGCATACTATTTCTTAAGAAATATTAAAAATACACAATTGTATTTTTGTAGGAATACACCCCATGCATAATAGGCCTAGCAGAGCGGCTGTTCCATACGACACACTAGCCCGTCCTCCAAACAAAGATCTAAAAGTGATTTCATGCATCTGCCAAACCTCCTGTTTATGAATGAAAAACGGTGTACACACGACTCAACTGATGACGTAGAACACTTCCGAAACAAGTGCTTATCTGACGATTTTTTTTCGAACCACAACGTTATAAGTACTTCACCCACGTACTATAAATACAAATAATCGCCAACAAAACCTAAACACCCAACCTAAGCCTATATATGCACAATATGCTATTATATTAATAATTTATATTTGAGAAAATTCCTGTTTTGAATGAACAGTTACAAACCCATTAAGATTTCAACTTAGATTCAACAGAGCAGAAGAAGTTGTTAAACACATGGGGCAAAATCTTACTGAAGCGACCATACGAGTCATAAATACTCACACTCCGCCCAAGTAAAACAGAAACAAGCAACACTTATTGGGCCAGCCAGAGGCTTAGGGCTCGCTCAGGAATATCCCTGAGAAAAAGCATGTACAAATGTATGAATGCGTCTGTGGAGTCGACCGCTGGATGGAATGAACTTTAGTCAAGGACGAATTGGACACACAAAAAACGTTATAGGCTGCAAATCAATACTTTTACTAAAGGAGTTCAAACGTATGTTGTCAATAATGTACAGAGCATCGCATACATAGATAGAAAGACCTAAGGCGTAGCACAGGCTTGGGGGGTCCATACAGCATGAGAAGGAAACCATGTAAACCAAATGTTGATAGTCGTCTTTCAGGAGGTTCCAACATACAACAGTACCGTTTACCTAAATATTCAACCCACCATTACCATAACATTGATGACATTGGTAATTTTGTTATATATTTACAAAAATTAAAAATATTTTTCAATAGAATGTATCTCCACTTAATTCGTGTAAAATTTGGTTTCAATTTGATATTACATTACTTACGAAAAAGGCGTTGCTAATGCATGTGATTTGGGATGTGTTTGACGGAAATGATGTGTAGTTGTGGTGGTCAATACGGTTGTAAATATTGTGAAAACTTATATTTTTGTTCGTTTGACTAATGATTGATTAATTAAAACAATTCTGATACCGTAACAATGAGGCCAGTGACACCAAATAAATGCAAACACCACGCAAATATTGAGACCAAAAACATGAATTTTCTTATTAATAATGTAAACAATTGCTCAACATGCATTTATTAAAACGTCAAGCAAAGAAAAATCTAATATCCTCATCATAGCACCTAGTCCAGTTATTATCTTCGCTATGCAAACTGCATTATTATATCCCATCTACCCAAGAACCTTGTGCTACTAATTAATTTAGTATTGTGACATTACTCCAATATAATTTATCATTATTACCATCTATCCCAAGTACTACAGTTATCCGGTCAACAAAATTTTAACAGCGGTACCTGCTTACATGATAACCATAGTATATCCTGTCGGATTACTTCATACGAATAACACTGTTCCTCAATTAACTAATCCAAATCACTGCAAATTCTCAATATATATACATACATTGCTAATTTTAAGTACTTTGTTTAGTACCGACTTTACCTCTGTCAAATTCCAAATTGCTGCATATTCTGAATGTATTCTTCAACAAATTTGTCAGCATTAAAACTTGCCCAAAACGCTATGGGAGTTTGTGGCATTGCAAGAATGTATCATTTTATGCCAAACTTGTTATATTGCTTTTAGGTGGCACGCTTGTGGCTGATGTTGTGGCCGGTGGGACACTTGTGGCTGATGTTGTGACCGGTGGGACACTTGTGGCTGATGTTGTGGCCGGTGGGACACTTGTGCCTGACGTTGTGACCGGTGGGACACTTGTGCCTGACGTTGTGACCGGTGGGACACTTGTGCCTGACGTTGTGACCGGTGGGACACTTGTGCCTGACGTTGTGGCCGGTGGGACACTTGTGCCTGACGTTCTGACCGGTGGGACACTTGTGGCTGATGTTGTGACCGGTGGGACACTTGTGGCTGATGTTGTGGCTGGTGGGACACTTGTGGCTGGTGGGACACTTGTGGCTGATGTTGTGGCCGGTGGGACACTTGTGCCTGATGTTGTGGCCGGTGAGACACTTGTGCCTGACGTTGTGGCTGATGTTGTGGCCGGTGGGACACTTATAGCTGATATTGTGGCCGGTGGGACACTTATAGCTGATATTGTGGCCGGTGGGACACTTGTGGCTGATGTTGTGGCCGGTGGAACACTTGTGGCCGATATTGTGGCCGGTGGGACACTTGTGGCCGATATTGTGGCCGGTGGGACACTTGTGCCTGACGTTGTGGCCGGTGGGACACTTGTGGCTGATGTTGTGGCCGGTGGGTCACTTGTGGCTGATGTTGTGGCCGGTGGGACACTTGTGGCTGATGTTGTGGCCGGTGGAACACTTGTGCCTGATACCGTGCTGGCCGTAGCAATTGGCGGCGTTGTCGAGACAGTCGTTGTAGCAGCCGATATATTTGTCTGGAATGTGGACGAGGCTAATTCCGTCGGTGGAGAAGTTGACTCTGTTGCGAGTGAAAATTCTGTTATTGTTGACGTTCCTACTGCTGCTGTACTATTTGATATTCCAAGCGGTGCTGCTGTTGCAGTTTCTGATGTAGCTGTTGCGGTTCCTGTTAGTGTTGTTGGTACGTCAGTTCCCAGTTCTCGTGACACCGTTGTTTCTGATGGCAATGAAGTTTCCGTAGCTGCATACGTGTTAGTTTCTGTACTATTTTGTTGCATTGATATTGTTCCTCCTGCTGTTATTCCATCAGCACTTGGTAGTCTCATTAGAGCATCTGCCAAATAGATATTTATTAAAAAAATAATATTACAGAGCAAACTGGGTCTGGGAACTATAGAATTTATTCCTATTATGCAAAACTGATTGTAGTCCGCAAATGTTGTGTCATGCTTATTCGTATGTAATCAGGATTGATTTATATATTATTACTTAAGAGTATCATTAACAATATGACGATTAAAGAATAACTGATTTTCAGAGGAAATACGATTACATGAAATTCGTTATTCATTTGAAACCTGCTTTCAGGGGCGGGGCGATAACTTGGCTCTATAAAATTTGCAATATTTATTTTTATTATATATTTGCAAAATGGTTAATTCATCGCCTTCCCTGGACTGCCCCTTTCTTCCTCTCTCCCTCCAAGAGCAACTAGCCGTGCATGTCCGTTAGTATGTCCCTATGTAAAGAAAGCCTTTAACTAGGATGGCTATATAGCACTGCCTGTAAGTAATTATCAAAAGAAGGCACCTGCCAGTGTCACAGAGTATTCAAGAGTTCCTAGATATCATTCGGGGTCCCAGTACGAGAGCAGAACATAAGATGAGCCATGTCAAAAAGAGAAGCAGATTAGGCTAGGATTTTATCAACAGACAACTAATTTTGAATACATCTTTACAGGCAAGGTATCTACGTCAACACAATCTTCACTAAATTGTGTATTTCTTTATAGTCAGCACATTGTGCTCTAGTCAGCTACCATCAACATCGAAAACATTAGAGAATGAGATTGACGTAGCTTTATAAAGCCTAAATATATAAACATTTTTGTGCAACACAGTACTACACAATTGATTTGTCATTATGAATACTAGTTAACCAATCGGAGATAGGCCTTAGCTACAGAATGAATAAAATGACATTTTATATCCCTTGTACATAAATTGTAAAGTGGCGAAAAATGAGTGTGGTGAATATAGATAGGAGCTGCCTCGTATGGGTCAATTTTTAAACAATTTCAATCATTTATCTCGTAACGGCCTAATATGGGCCGTTTTTCTGCAACCGTCCACATTTTTATTTACCTCGGATATTAAAATTAATTTCTAGTTTATTGTAAAACTGAAAACATACTCACCTGAATGGAAAATGAAAACAGAGCCAGACGCCGAGGGGCTAAGGTTGTTGAGGGGGTCCTGATGTGAGGTGAAGCTGCAGGAGACGACTCCTTCATGCACCACCTGGATGGACACGGCCGTGCAGTTGGTCAGTGCCAGACAAAAGTTCTTGCACCAACCTGTAGGTAAGAGTCTTGCTGGATGACGGAATGAATTAAAACATTACAGAAAACGTTTACACGGTCTTTGAAACGTTAGCTACTCTTGCTTCAGCGCAAGTTAAAACATTGTGGTTTCGCTCAAATGCATAGCAACTAACTGACTGTTCTTGAAAAGAATAAATGCACTTAATGACATAATATTTATATACTTAAGTGTGTATGTGCGTTCCAAAAATGCTATGTATATATTAAACAAAAACATACGTAGACTTTGCTGATGCATTCAACATCCTTAAGAAACCTAGCATTGTCCTCCTTGCAGTGATGCCTTACTTGACGGTAATGCTGTTTACGCCTAAGGAACAAGCTTATTTAGTTTTTCATCACAGTCGAGTACCAAGATAGAGTAACGCTCATGGTTGACAAACGCGTATTACTGTGTTATCATGTAATCCTCTATTTTTAGTTGTCAGCCATATAGTGGTCCGAAGTTCTGACTGCGCTTTTACACAGTTGGTGTCGCTGTCACTGATGTCAGAATTTTGACCGATGATGGTACTTGCTGTCCCATTACATAAGCAGTAGAGAATTTTTGATCAGACCGTTCAGTTGTGAATGAACGGCCTGATAAAATCGCATTTGCTAATCCTGGGTTTCAATGATTGGTCTCACGCTGGCCGCTCTGTCATGCCGTCGATATGCCCCCCCCCCTGACTGCACTGGCAGTTTACTACACAAAAACTTAAGAGGTGATAGAGACCAAAGATGAAGCAGATGGATTAGTTAACTTATGAGCAAGATATACGTACATGGAGAATCAGTTTCTTCAGTCCTCCATAATATCAGTTTGGAGGAGAAATCGGAGCCCCAGCTGACGGTGGCGGCGGTGGAGACCTGCCCGGTCGCCATCACCAACATCAACACTAGTGCTAGCATGGCCTTTAGCAGATGCCTAGGGACTGAAAATGTTTTATTAATCCAATTTTACAAATATTTAAACAGGAATGTTCTTTTATTTTGTATTGTTATGATTTAAGAACTAATGATCAGCAATAATAATTGAGGCAAAGGCAAAAGCGTATACTGTACTTCATGCAGGGACCAACCTCCCGGACCCACCCTCACCCCGATTTTCGTGAGTTACATCTCAACAGTGCACATCTTCCCTGCACAAGATCCTTGCTACAAACGATCATCATTATACACAATATTTACCTGATCTTAGTGTACAGAGAGGAGCTTTTAAGTTCAAGTATGTTTATTGAGACAAGAAGAAATACATCTCAAAGGAATAGAGTAGCTTAGGCTATTTTTACCCCCCTTTAGAAGCTTTAATACACTGTTTTCACTAAACAATCATAAAGCTTCGCAACACACTTCCTTACATATGACATTCACAACACACGATCTTCATCCAGAGTAACTCTTCACTACTCACTGCCTTATAGCCTAACGTATGACCTTCCCTCTTGAAGCTCTCCAGCATCATTCTAAAGTTGGTTGAATTCCAGTCGACGGTGTCCGAATGTACATCACTCACACACTTAAATCTATTTATATAGACATCCATTTGCTGCACAAATTAACGCTTGAACGACCTCCTGGAAGCACACAATCAGTAAATTTAGCATCCCTGTCGTGCCATACCAATTGTGTTCGCTCCATGGCTTAATTAGTAGACAACATTCACATCTTGATTTACGGACTCACTATTAGTGAGCTATTCGCGGGCTAAGCAAACTTGCACGTGGCAGCGATGGACCAACACCCGCCAGGTGGTACTGGACAAACAACGCACATGTTGACTCCCTGTTTTTAGCTGACGTAGTACACATTATACTGACGTATCGCTGTTTGATGAGCAAATAACGTGATGATTTATTCACTCTACCTCCACATAAATTACATTTTATAAATGAGTGTTTGCGTCCGGCATCCACTCGAGCATTCTCGACATAACGGAAATGGCTTCCAGTGTGAGACCATAAGCTATACGCGGTTTTGTAGAAGCCTCAAAACACACAATTCGGGTTGTGGAGTGTCCCATGGTGCTCCTGGGAAGGGCGCCAATACCAGTGTATCTTCACTCTCCCGGCTGTGTACATACACAGGATCATATTCATTGAAGATTGTGTGTAGTGATGATCGTGGGTAGTGAATGTAGGTGTGTAGTAAAGACTGAGTGTAAGGAAAAATTGTGTACGAACTTAATCGTTTTCAGCTATTTGTGCTTGTAGGGGTTTAGCTTAGGCTCTGTGGTTCAGCCCTTCAACTTTCAATAAACTGGTGTACAGGTTCCAGACCCTATTGGGCTTTATCATACCTGTATTTCAAACTGATATCCCCCATATTCATCCTGTGAGCGGTAGTTTATTGTGCACCCCATACTCATGCTGTGATCGATAGTTTATTGTGCACTCCATACTCATCCTATGATCGGTAGTTTATTGTGCACCCCATACTCATCCTGTGATCGGTAGTTTATTGTGCACTCCATACTCATCCTATGATCGGTAGTTTATTGTGCACCCCATACTCATCCTGTGATCGGTAGTTTATTGTGCACCCCATACTCATCCTGTGAACGGTAGTTTATTGTGCACCCCATACTCATCCTGTGAGCGGTAGTTTATTGTACACCCCATACTCATCCTGTGAGCGGTAGTTTATTGTGCACCCCATACTCATCCTGTGAGCGGTAGTTTATTGTGCACCCCATACTCATCCTGTGAGTGGTAGTTTATTGTGCACCCCATACTCATCCTGTGATCGGTAGTTTATTGTGAACCCCATACTCATCCTGTGATCGGTAGCGCAAAACAAAAAATAATTACACAAGGCAAAAAAAAAAACTTGATCGGATCTCAGCGGATATATTTATCTTGTAAATTACAAACCTACACACCTTATAATTACGAGGACAGCTAATAAAGTTTTTTTCACTGCAACTACCATGTATTAACTATATTATTATACATTAGAGGTATGCCTTTTTGTTTAATTATAAAAATAAAATGTTTTTAGTCTACACATTCATCCTACCCATGTTCCTTGTCTGCTACGAGCAAAACATGGATACAGTGCTCAAGAAGATAAAAAGTGACCAATAATCTGTCCTTGTGTGCCCTCTCAATCAAGGAAAATTTTCTCTATCAAAAGATGGAGAAAAACAAACGTTTCGGTCCGTCCTAGACCATTATCACGCACAGTATGATAATGGTCCAGGAGGGACCGAAACGTCGTCATTTCTTCACCTTCTGATGTGTGATTTGGTCAATATATCTTCAGCAACGTTGTGACTCGTCGTCTGCATGGGGACAGTTTGTCAATTTCGTGACCCGCAACCATTTTCTATTACGATATTTATTAGCCTTGGGCAGAGTATATATCAAAATGCGACGTTCTATTAGTTCAATTACGAAAACGGGTTCTAAATAAGTTTAGGAAAAGCCGTCTTGAAAACGAATTGTGGCATCATAATGCGCACTTTAGAATCATCTTCAGCTCATCGCCTGGGAAAGATTGAAGATCAGCATAGAAAAAAAGATTGTTAAATTGAAAAATGACACCCACTCATTCAGAATACCGTACACTCATTTCGTAAACTGTTTACGAAAATGAGTGTAAACAGTTTCCGTCTCCTTATACCGCAAGCACTTGACTTTTGTCCACGTTCACTTTTAACATTAGCCTATGGCACATGTCAAGATAAACTTAAAAAAAAATCACCTCCATATCTCAAAAGTGACACACTTTATTCCTGCCAAACACTCGAGTATTCATGCTCTGTCTTCCAAAGAAGTATTAGGAATTATATATGTGTGTGTATATATATCATAGAAACGAGTCACAAAGAATATGATTTCCAACAGCGAGATGAATAAGTAAACATCATAACGTCCTTCAGTACTGGCCAATACCTCGTAGCGTCACATTGTGCGTGCTGCCGCCTACTAAAAATTTCTACCCATTTCATTTCAGATAATTTAGTGGATCTGATTTTTGTTGTTATATACTGGTATCATGCAACAGTTTATATATACATAGTATATATCTACATATATATACACATTTAGTCGCATAGGGGTATAATCACTTATACATACAAACTTCACATAATCACACATACATAGGGGGTTTATGGCTGAGTGGACAGCGCTCTAGACTCGTGGACCTAGAGACCGGGGTTCGATCCCCGGCGCCGGCGGAAAAACAAATGGGCAGATTTTCCTTCACCCTGATGTTCCTGTTACCTAGCAGTAAATAGGTACCTGGGAGTTAGACAGTCGATATGGACTGCTTCCTTGGTGTGTTTGTGTGTGTGTAGAAAAAAATTAGTAGTAACAGTTTATTGATTAGCAGTTGAGAGGCGGGCCGAAAGAGCAGAGCTCAACCCCGCAAGCACAACTAAGCGAATACAACTCTGAATACACACGCACAATAAGGCGTATCCAGCTGTGCTCTGGATAGTCTCTCTCTCTCTCTCTCTCTCTCTCTCTCTCTCTCTCTCTCTCTCTACCCTCACCCCGCCAACCTCAAACAGATGGACATTTTCACGTATATATAAAGTAAATCATGAAAATGGTCAGGTAAACGGCAAGTTACAGTAGAGAGGGCAGGCCGCCAGTGACAGACTCTACATTAATCACAATACTTTATACTTTCACAAGGCTTTTAAACTTTTTCAAATCGATAATGGCTGCTACCTTAAATGATACACAAGGGGGCGAACCTTTTCCTGCAACCGTAGATTTGTGTCAAATTTAAAATGTTATCAATAAGACTGATATATCTTTGCAAGCTTGGAATGAGTGTCTTTGGATTTGTGTGTTTATATGATGGATGTCTTCTGTAATGGCTGTGCTGGGATAGAGCGTCCAGTAACCATCTCAAGGTTAACACAATTCTATCGGCAATTTTTTTTTTTACTGTAACTTTACTAACATTTACGGATTTTGTGGGTAGGTTGCTTTATTAGGTTACTACTGTCTTTGTGAAAAGAGGTATTGCAAACTGAGTTTTTTACTGTACTTTGGCGAGTTTAAAATTATTGTATCCTGGATGTCAGTTTGGGCCTCGTGGATAGCTCCCTAAACCAGCGAATGTGACTCGGGTTCCAGTCTTGTGCAGTGTTATCTAGGAGTGTCAACTGGCCACCAACTCACAATTCTTCGCGCCTATTCACCCGGCAGTAATTGGGTTAACTGATTAGCCAGTCGCGTTATAGGAACATTTAGCAAGGCAAGGGGTTAAAAAGAGCTGGGGTAATGAAAAGATTAACCATGTCGTAGGTCAGTCGATTAAGGCAGCGTCTGGTAGCCTTTCGGACGTAGGTTCGAACCCTCGTCACGGCCCTTGTGGACTTGTTCAAGAGATATATGCTTGTATAAAGGATCGGAAGTTGCTTGTTATTGCACCCAACAGTGAAAAATATTAAATATTAACATTATCTAATTTAAGTGTTTTAGTTATCTCAATGAAGACAGCACTACCGTGCCCAATTTGACGAGTTGTCAGCCTTGTAGACCTCAATTCTTTTCTGGTAAGCAAGTTTATTTAGCTTATTGCCTGAACCTAACCCAAATAAATATATTTATTTAGGTTTAGGGAAATGTACAATTATGTGTAATATATGACGTGAACACTTTAATGACAATTTAAATAATGAGCCATTAACTATTAAGCAATATTAATACAATTATGGAATACACTGGAACAAATCTAATTTATATGCAACCTTATGTATTATTTCTTGCAAAGAGTTCAATAATATTTCACACTGCGGAGACTCACAAAAAATCAACCTTTTACAAGACGATAATTTATGTACATTTCAACAAATACTTCAGATGGCAATAGCTATCACTACATTCATAGAAAACAAATTTCATGTGATAATTTGTTATAAACATTTCGAATCAGTTATTATTTATATTTAGAAATATACTCACAAATCTCAATTTATTGAATATATAGATCAATTTTAACGAGTTGACCCCGACGTAAAAATTGCTGTGGTTTAGGGAAATTGAAAATCACGTTAGATAGATGCTCTTAGGGACTAATGAGTATCGGCTCCGGAAGGTTAAGTAGGTAGGTAGCCTATGTTTTGACGCTTTTAGTTAGGCTAATCCACTGCATTTCTTACGGAGGAGAAATCTAAAAAACAAAAGGGCGTGTAATATGAGCACACAGAACACGGAGGATGACAGACTTACCTCAGGAGTGTGCTGTGGGTGAGTGAGCAGCAGCCTACACCAGACTACTGAACTAATGGTGAACATGCGCCAAACACTTTTATCGACCTCTTAACTCGTTGTCCACAGCCAACCAGCTCGCTGCCACCAGTCAACAACCATTATATGAAATTATTGTTGTCCAAGCCACCTTTAGGATTTATATGGCAACTTTGAGCTAAACCCTATAATCACTGCACAAAGCACCTAATTCATCACCAATATTATGCTACTAACCACGAATATTCAAATTAATTTGTTATTTTCCCCCCTTAGATCGTCATATATTTTTCAGGTTTCTTGTAAATACAAATTTTAAAGAAAAACAGCGGCTTTCTTAATGTAATAAAATTCAGGATATCTGTTAATACCCATTTTTCAAAACTGCCTAATACTCAAATTTCCTCTCTTTAAAGGTCTCGAAAGTATTTTATTAGAAAATGCTAAAATGTTTCATATTTTAAATAATAAAGTACATTTTTATCTCGTGTGTGACATTGCGCAATTATTTATATTGAAGGTGATGACATGAGACCCTTTATTTGGGCTCTGATAATTGTTAGTTATTTCTCAATAAATGGTTTTGGTTTGGTGTTGGGTTTAAAGTTTATCAACCACAGTAGGATGACCAGACCCCACACACTAGAAGGTGAAGGGATCGGGAAGGGAAGACCATTCACAATCGACTTGAGACTGGTCCAGGATGGACCGAAACGTCGTCGTTCCTTCACCTTCTTTGATCATTTACATAAGAGGGTTCAGTAAGATCGCCTTCAGTCTCGTAATAACATTAGTGACATTTGTCCCAATCATGACAATGGGAAATACAATTTTATTCTGAATAATTCCTTCTTACTGTTTGCATTCCTAAGTTAGGAATTAAAGCAAAAGTAAAATAAGAAAATAATTAAATCTTGAGTTAAACTAAGTTAAGTAGATTAAAATAAAATTTATGTATACAACTTTATTATTTATCATACATATCATTTATACAAACATTACCATAGTGCAGTTACAACAAGCGTAATTCCTTCATTATCGTTCATTTACACATCACGCTAGTGTTACTGCTGGTCACTTCTCGCTAAAGTACGAATACAGATTACAGTATAAGATAATGAATAAACACAATATTCTCCAAGTAAACATTTAAGGCTAATAACTAAGATTTTACAAATGTTTAAGGGACGATGTCTCCATTAACCTCAGCTCCTGCAAGAGGCTATCTGGAAGCCTAAAGATATCGTACAAATTCATTTATAAAGAGAAGCACAAATTATACAATAATAAATAGTTAATGCCTCCAAAGACTACATTTAGAGAAATTACATTAATGTAGGCGATGATGATATGAAGGTAAGGTGATTGAGGATTAAAACAGTGTGTTTGGTGATATTTCATGACTGACTAATTGAAGACAAGCAGAACTGTAAAAGCTTGATTGGCACAACAGGCCAAGCCCGGTGATAAGAGATGAAGTAAGAGTTTATACAAAGAAACCGTTAGATTTCCACGTCAAGGCTCCAATAGTATAATTAATTTAATATCGCATCTGAGCAGATCGAATATACAACCGTTTCCAATGTCGATAGTGAATTCATTGTTTGCAGATTATAAGAGTTTGTTGTTTGACTTCCTCGCGTGTCAAATTTGTTTGACTATGTTGGCAGTAAGGATTAGACTGCATTGATTCCTAAGAATTAATTTTGCCATTTTGTATGGGCTTGTCCATTCCAATAGCCTTAGGGAGGGTTATCGTAACAATAATTTGAAAATACTGTATTGGCTATTTTGGGGGAATCAGAAAATTATGATCTTGACATTATAAATTTGTCCATTTGAAGTTTGGGCAGGTGATGGGGAGGATGACGAGCCTAACCAATATTCCTTTTTCAAAATTGAAAAAAAATCTGTTTCCTTTCATGAAAAGTAAAGATACTCATTAAATAAGAATACACACACACGTTAAATAATAACAATAACAAGGCGAAACAAGTGATGTCAGCACTGGGTAGATACATCAGTGACATCATGTGATGTCCTGTGATTTTGTCCACGGGGACAAAATAACAATATATATAGTGCTACAGTTGGCTAATCCTCCGACCACGATTACAGCCCATAACAGAGCTAAGAATTGCAAGTGGGAAATTTAAAGGGGAACAACTTACTAATTACTTATCGTAGTGAATATAGGCACTAGCACATTACTAGTAATACTAATAATAATAATACATTACTAGTAATATAAAATTCCTCGTTATCAACTTAGGATAAAACTGTAGCATGGATGAGCATTAACCAACGGAACAAGTCTTTAACGATATGCTTAAAAGATAAGCATAATAAGATAAGATAAGCATTGGAAATAAATATTGAATCACAGATGAGATAATGCGCATCTTCGCGGAGGAGTGAGATGAGACAAAATGACTCGCACACACTGGCTAAACGCCTCTACCTTACTGGAAAATAAATAATATTGAGCAGATCTGAGACCTTCCATTTAGAAATAAAGAAAGGGGCTCATATGCCTTACACAGATAATTTAACTCTGCACACTTTTACCTGGTTCGAGTAAGAGAAGTGAGCAATACTGGTGCTGTAATACAATAAGAAATGCCCGAGTATTGGACCTGGGTACAGTGAGGGGTGGACGAACACTACACTCTCCTCGCATACAACAGATTTACCCACTTGATTTTCCCAGTGGAGAAAGATACCAATCATTAGACCATTCCAAGAGGAAATGACCCCCCTATAGATAAGAATTTGAATGAGGGAGAAATGGTTCACTCCATTTCCTTTCAACACCTGTGGAGACGCTAATGGAAGTTGAAGGTAAGACTCAAAATTACCCACAAGCAAACCCACCGATACTCTTAAGGAAATTTGTTAACTGTTCTCTAGTTACCTGGAGACGGATACCCGACAATGACACGAACGGCAGGGACAAACAGCATATAATTATATAAAATGTCTTCGGCACTTGCTGGCGTGACTGGATTGTCTTATTAATTTCGTCGCAAGACAATAGAGAGACTGAATTTTCTGTTAATAGAATCAAATGTCATTCGAGATATCCAAGAAGGTCGCCTGTGAGCGCGGGGAATGTTTCCCGCCACTTCTTTCCTTCCGAGGTTCCTCCCCTGCGTGGTTTGGTTGTGTCGTTAACGTAGTTCAAAGTGTTTGGCCGGTTGCCCTTAGTACTTCCTGCGGTCGCGCCAGTCGCGGTCTTGGCGATCATGACGATCAGCGCGATCGGGGCGCTCTTGGCGATCTGAGCGGTCATGGTGCTCATGGCGGTCATGGTGCTCATGGCGGTCATGGTGATCACGGTCTGTGTCCCGTCCTCCCTTGTGGCGGTGTCCGTGGTGGTGGTGGTGGTGACGGCGCTTCTCCGGGCGGGTGTACATGGCTGCCACGTCGTTGACCGTCATCTCCGAGCCGTCGCGGAGGCCCTCTTGACCCATTGAGCGTGTGGACCTGAAGTCTGGTTGGTCGAGGGTCTCCGTGCGGGCGAGACGAGGATGACCGCTCTTCTCCAGGTCTCCTCCACTGCCGCCGCCTTCACGCAGGTTCTCCCAGGCCCTCTTGTAGTATTTGTTGAGACCATGGCCGTCAGAAGACGAGGAGTCGTAGGAGGAGGCGGTACCATCATCGTTGCGACGGATGTACTTCTTGGATGGTGCATGCTGCGTCCTGAGTGAAGCGGAGTGTCAACAATCATCATAGGAGTCACTATAACACTCACGTACGGGACTCATGACTCTACGGCCTGTTACACCTTACAATTCACGGGACCTGTAAGTTAGAGTTAGTGAGCGTGTTAGTAGCTATCTACATGTGAGGGCTCGAGCTGGGGGAGGTTAACAGGTGGCAGCATACAACACTGAGGTACTCAAGCCTTTACGACGTGCATAGCCCTCACAACACGAGTGCTCGGCTTGGACTTGAAACGTGCATATACTTATTAATGATTATGTACAGGGGGGACGTTAAGCTCAGCTACGTATTGACTTCAACGAGACAACTGACCGTGTATGAAGTCTTGTGTAGCATTGTCTGGATGGGTGGAAATTGCATCTACACAAGTGCACCTCTGAAGCCCAAGCGACACCAACCTTTATTGAAACCATTGTCCCGCTGGCAACCCGCCACTAACTACTCAACTACAGGTCCCGCGAAATCACCCATTAAAGACCATCACCTGATACACATTTCGCAACACACATTCATCCACTACACACTACATCCAGTGTGACATTTGGCATCCACAGTTATGTTTTCCGACAGAATTACAAGTGAAGACTTAAAACACTAAGATGAAGCGTGTGTGTGTGTACAGATGCTTGCATGAAAAAGAAAAATATAGAACCCGGAGTAGGACCCTTTTACTGTAGAACATGTGATATGGTGTCAGGACAATGTTTACTTCAGGTAAAATCATGTCAAAGATTGTTGATAGTGGTTTGTAAATTGTCAATACTCTGTACATACAATCAGTTTCTAATAAATGATCCCCCAGGAGATAAAACAGCCAATATCACCAGGGAAGTTTGTGAAGAGTGTGAAATGTGGTGCTGGACAGAAATTCAAGGGAAGTATTCAAGCTCTATGTCTGCATCAGGAAACCAGGAAGTTAACTGACGAATTACGAGCTATGTTCACAAGTGCTACTTCATACTTCACTATCACACACACACACACACACACACACACACACACACACACACACACACACACACACACACACCATCGTTTATTAACAAGCAACAACACAAGATGAAAGGACATGACGAATCTTGCATCAATCAAATGACAAAGAGTGTTCCCGTTGGGACTGATTAATACAACATTTCACTAGTGTTGGCTACAATACTACAACAATTACTACAGCAGCAGCAGCAGTAGTACAAGGGATTGGGAGCGAGTCATGAGTCCAGTACGTGGTATTGTCTTAATACATAACAATATACAGAATTTCACTTAGGTGCGACTTAATCTGTTGATATATATATACAAATAGCTTAGATTAATATTTACAAGCAAATTAGATATTTATATACAGACCTAAACATTTAAATTAGTATATACATTGTGAGGAGTTTATAAATCTTAAATTTTTTTACCGAAATAAAATGTGTAACATTTTTATTACAAGTCTTCATTATGGCATCATTGAGAACATGCGGCAACAATGTGCTAGACTCGGGTCCATCGTTTTCTTTTCTTTGTAACACGTGCTAACATTATTAATTTTGAAAATAGTGTGAATTGTGGCATATTTAATGATGTAATTCATTTGTTGCATGCCTTGTCCTGACTGTCAAGATTAACGAATACTTAGATTACCGAGAACATTGGCTAAACGTACTCAAAGAAAACGACTGACGTAGATATTAATGGTTTAATGGACAAGATTAAATGGCCTCTGCAATTATTTGCAGTCTCAGTAATGGTTAGTAATTGGATGTACAGCTGTTTTTTTTCGATTAAAAGTATTTAAAAAGAGAGAAAATATTTAAGAAATGATAACTTTCCCACAACAAAAGCCAGTCGGTACTTAAAAAAGAAAGTCGTCCAAGAATTGTCCCCAAATCCAAGAGCCTTAGTCGAGTCAGTGTCATTGCTTATAACATAAAATTTGTGCTATAGAGGGGCTACATCAGGCAGCAGTCGACGGATGTGAAGAGAAGTGCAGGAGGTACAGAGCAGGAAGAACGTACACTGAGGCCCCGGAGGTGGAGTGCCCTGCGGTAACATCACGAAGGGGCGCAGGGACATGCAGAAGAGCTTGAGGAGAGCGCTGCAGCGCCCGATGTAGAGGCAGCAGCGGAGAAGTGGGCCTCTTGGGTAGGCGTACCTCTAGTTGGCGGAGCGCGGGGGTGAAGGGTTAGTGACTAGAATAATGATCCGCTCTGGGCGTGGCACGCGAGAGCAACTCCCGCCGGCCCACCGTCACGTCAGGGAAGGGAAGAGCCAGCAGAGTGTACCACCGGGATCCAGGTAGTGGCGTCGACGTCCGCGTCTCTTGGTCGAGCGGCGTCGACCCACTGAGAGAGCACTTGGATCAGCAGGGATGGCCGAAGGAGCAGGGGGCCTCAGCCTCCTCCCACGCACACACTCACCCCTCTTACACACGTGAAGGATATGTACCGTAGTAGCATACGCACTTAACTCTTACAGTCAGTTGAAAAAAAATATATATACATACTTGACTGGTGTACCTAACAAAGTATAAGCAGTAAACAAAAACATGCAAGGCTCTTTTGTCTGTTGTGTATAGCAGAAAATAAACGTAACAATTACAAACACACACATTCGACAGTCATAAGCACAGATACAACAAATAGGAGTGTCAAGGATGGCAGAGGAAGACTGAAGAGAAAGAGTGTGAGGAGTGTGCGTGTACGTGCGTGTGTGTGCGAAAGGGAAGTGCCAGACACTGGTGAGGAATGGAGGTGAAGGCTGGCTGGTGCTTGCAGGTCACACACAGTCCAGGTTGCCTGCTAACTCTAGCAAGCGTCAGTCGAATGTACAGGTTCTCTTGATGAACTCAATAAGCTACCGACTATTTACACACACAGCGGTTACTGGTAAATACATGCACATTTACCAGCCAATCAAGGGGAAAAGGGATTTATTATTACAGTCCAATTAACTCTCACTACAATGTTAAAATGAAACAAACATAAAAATGCTGACAGCACTAATTAAATATGAAATAAAACAAAATGTTCCAGCTGTAACTACTTACACAGCTGAACTTGAACATGCAGGAAGCAGTTATTATTACTAGCAGGCAACACTGAAGCATTATTACTTTCTTCCCCCATGTTAACACTAGCTTTGATTAAGATCCCTAACGAATTAGAGCAGTTAATGCGAAGCAAACAACAATTTTGGTCCATAAATTTACTAAAACAAATGAACAAAGGTTTATTCAAATTTGTGTATGCAGGCTGAACAGTCGCTGAACTACATGGATAATAATACCCAGGCCGTGTTGTAGAGAGCTGGTTAATATTTCATACATACGGTGAGGGTACAGTGTGAATCTCTTGAGCAGTGTGGATATAAGGTAGGTGTAGAGTGGATACAGTTTTAATATACTGCGTAGTAGGCTATCGCGTGGGGTACAATGTGAATCTCTTAGATAATGAGGCTATCGCGTGGACTATAGTGTTAATCTCTTAGATAATGAGGCTATCGTGTGGATACATTATGCATCTACTGGATACCGAGACTATCATATGAATGTAGAGTGCGGGCATAGTGGTATATCTTTGTAAGAGATAGCAAACTAAACAAGGTTATGGAGGTCCCCCCTAGCCAAGGGCGAGGCTGTCCGCGCGGTCATCCATTCAATTGCAGGCTAGACCCGACGGTGCTTAACCTGTCTGATCGAGTGATGGGCACATCATCCACTGCACCACGCCACTGGCTAGCGAGGACATGACGATGCAACTAGCGTGTGGGTGCTCAAAGTAGACCAATTGTGCGGGTACGGTGAATAGATCAGTTGGGTGCGGGTACTTACCTTCTAACCAAGATGACGATGGTGGTAATCACTGCCGCCAGGAAGACAAACCCACCAAACACTCCCAGAGCGATGATTCCACCTGCGGGTACAGCAGAATGAGGGAAACGTAGGGTGAGGTGACGATAGGGTGAGGGGAGGCCTTAGGGTGAGAGGCCCGTTGGGTGAGGGATCAAGTTCATGTATGTTTATTGAGACAAGAAAGAAATACATCTCAAAGGGATAGAGTAGCTTAGGCTATTTCTACCTCCCATGGGTGAGGGAGAGCCAGCATGAGGGAGATGCAGGGTTAGGTTTTGCATCAAAGTTCTACATTAGATTAGGAGACAATTAGAATTAATGTTATTCAACTGAAACGTATTTTTTTCCATTGTTAATGAATCATAAAATATAATAAATTGTTTTTTCGTTAACAACTTTATGAAAAATAATTATATTAACAAAATCATTACAAAAGTGATTAGTATATAGAAATATTTTTTTTATCTTTATGTTTTTTAGTATATAGAAATAGGCAATAAATAATCTTGTAATATTTTATTCAAAGGTATGAGTTAATAATGTATTAACCCTACTGTTTTTACTCGTCTATTTGGTAATTTAACCCCTATCAAACCTAATGTGTTAGGTAGGGGTTCTCTGTGGAACCTAATGTGTTAGGCAGGGGTTCTCTGTGGAACCTAATGTGTTAGGTAGGGGTTCTCTGTGGAACCTAATGTGTTAGGTAGGGGTTCTCTGTGGAACCTAATGTGATAGGTACGGGTTCTCTCTCGAACCTAATGTGTGTCATCCAGGCCGACACACGTCTATACGACAATAACCATTAGGTTCCCGTTGAAGCCAATGTCGAAGTCAACACCGCCCCGCTCACCACACCAACTTACCAAGATGCAGCTTCTCCGTCGCCTTGCCGCCGCCTTCCTCTTTCAAGTCGTAACTGGGACCATCAACACTCTGACTCCTGTCATCATTGATGTTGTTGATACTGTTGTCCTGACCGGCCTCCAGGGAGGGTAAGACGGTGGCCAGACCCGGGTTGCTGGCCTCCACGTAATTGTCCTCCTCGTCGGCCAGGTATGGAGGCCGTGGCCGCTGCTGGTCTCCGCGGGGCCGATTGGGTCTGCGCGGGTGGTTTGGTCTCCTGTTCTCCGTCAGGTCTGGTTTGACTGCCTCGTCCACTGTACCAAGGGGGATCAGACAAGCAGGAATTAGCAATTTTAAATAAGGATTTTTAATTCTAGTTCAAGAGTCAGTAGCGATATATATATATATATATATATATATATATATATATATATATATATATATATATATATATATATAATATGTATATTTAATATAACCACTGGCACACACACACACACACACACACACACACACACACACACACACACACACACACACACACACACACACACACACACGAGTCTTTAAAGAGCTGACAGAAGTTCTTCAATAAGATCCTTGAGGTAGTAATCGTTTATACCAGTCATGGTCAGGTGTATAGAGCCGTGGTCAGGTATATAGAGCCGTGGTCAGGTGTATAGAGCCGTGGTCAGGAGTATAGAGCCGTGGTCAGGTGTATAGAATCGTGGTCAGGTGTAGAGCCGTGGTCAGGTGTATAGAGCCGTGGTCAGGTATATAGAGCCGTGGTCAAGTGTATAGAGCCGTGGTCAAGTATATAGAGCCGTGGTCAGGTGTATAGAGCCGTGATCAGGTGTATAGAGCCGTGGTCAGCTGTATAGAGCCGTGGTCAGGAGTATAGAGCCGTGATCAGGTATATAAAGCCGTGGTCAGGTGTATAGAGCCGTGGTCAGGTGTATAGAGCCGTGGTCACGTGTATAGAGCCGTGGTCAGATATACAGAGCTTTCAGTCAGATCTTTAAACATAAAATTTAATTACTTAAGATAACGAAGAAAGGCAAAAAAAGTATGAAAAAAGTATGCTCTATGAACCAATGGTTCATAGAGCACCAGCGACCTGTGGTTCATAGAGCACCAGCGACCAGTGGTTCACAGAGCACCAGCGACCAGTGGTTCACAGAGCACCAGCGACCAATGGTTCATAGAGCACCAGCGACCAGTGGTTCACAGAGCACCAGCGACCAGTGGTTCACAGAGCACCAGCGACCAGTGGTTCACAGAGCACCACCGACCAATGGTTCATAGAGCACCAGCGACCAGTGGTTCACAGAGCACCACCGACCAATGGTTCATAGAGCAAACCACTCAACCTACCAGAACCCAAAACCACAAGGCCCGTGAACCGTCAATATTTTTGCGATTTTAATTTCCCTAAACCACTATCATTTTTCCCCTGGGAGGGTTGGTTTAGCGTATAAAAAGAGGGAAGATTAACTAGGCACGAACCCTCCCCTCCCCCTTGTCCTTCCATCATGACGGGTTGCTAGTGGCACTACCAGAGCCCAGACTGCCAGGCAGGAAGTACTCTCCCTTCCGAGGGTGTCAAGGCCCTGCCTTTACCTTGGCAGCGAGGGGGCTCCTGGTCGAAGACGCCCTCAGAGGTGCAGGTGATGAGACGAGGCCCCACCAGCGTGTGGTCGTCGTCACAGGAGTACACGACGGAGACGCCGACGGTGACGGTAGGGGAGGAGAAGTTGGAGGAGCCGTGGACGAGGGGAGGAGGGGCGTCACAGGTCACGGCTGTAACACATCCACCCCGATACAGTTAAGAGACAAGAGATCAAAGTACAGGAGCGGTAAGGCAGGTCACACTATGCTATTGTTTAATGTTGCTGTGTGGTGGGAAGGTGTGAGATTAGTCCACAATTAAGATGTATAATTTTGTTAAAGTAATTATCTTGTGCTTCACACAAAATAAGATTATGATGCATAAGCCTTTACATGGCATGTATATTGCTATACATGGCATGTATAGCAATAAAGACTAGTCAAAAGAAGTATTCATTCAAGGTAGCAAATTGACAAGACCCATTAACGTAATCAAGATTATATATATATATATATATATATATATATATATATATATATATATATATATATATATATATATATATATATATATATATATATATATATTGTATAAACAGAAATACAGAATATAAGAATAAGCGAAGCAAGAAAATAGAGAAATAAGAGATGCATTTTGATGTGTAAAAATTAATTTAATCACTGAAGATACATTGGGTGGGAGCTGGCAGTCAGCCCAGCTACACGACCAAGTACAGTGATCGAAGATATAATATAACTAGTAATGCTAATGTCTCCTCACAGATAAAATAATATAGAATACAAACTCACACTTGTGTATGTGTGAAATTTATGTAAGGAATTTATACCAAGTCTTTCACACTCTCCTGAGTGCTTTGTCAAGATCTGAGTGTGTGATTAGAATGAGACTTACATCTCAACGTCTAATCCATTGAGATGTTAGATTAGACATTAAAAGGGGTCATATTAACTTAAAACGTTATAAATTAAAAGTTGTTCAATTTGCTTATAAATTTATTTATGAAATGGTTATAGAAAGGGCTGCAACTGGTCCAAGTTTCAGCATCACACCCTAAACAGAAAAGGAGAAAAAAATACACAACGTATTATGCAACGAATTTTCAACATTTTCAAATAATTTCAGGGAACACATGTGTCAACTAAAATCATTTCTATAACACTCAGATATTAAATGTAGCACATAATAAAGGATTGTAGTGATCAGTTTTATCAAAAAAGTGTTTAGTGCAATAATATAATTATTCAAAGTTACCCTTCCAAAAATATGCAATATATGATGTTTATAAATTTTTATAAAATCAACAAATGGACTTTGGACTAAAATGTTTAAATAGGTTTGTAGAAGCACAAACTCTACATATAAGGTGTAATTTGCATGTAAACTGATTAATAAATGAAAGCTCTGAAGTACTTTGAAGGTGTAAATTACTTTCCAGAGTAAAATAAAGATCCAAGTTCGGCCACCTGTAGCTGAGCTTGACTTCGACAGATTTCGTTCATAATTGGTACCCTTGCAGATAGGCATCCATTGAGCAAGTTGTGCAAGTTTCATGCAAATCCCTTGATAACAAACGAAAAAAAAATTGGCAAAAAAAAAGAAAAAAAAAAAAGAAAAAAAAAAATTTTACATATAAATATATTGCACATACATATTACAATTATTACAAGAGTTTGTGCTTCTACAGCACATAGTAGACATTTTAGTTGACACATGTGTTCCCTGAGATTATTTGAGAATGTTGAACATTCGTTGCATAATACGTTGTGTATTTTTTTTCTCCTTTTCTGTTTAGGGTGTGATGGTGAAACTTGGACCAGTTGCAGCCCTTTCTATAACCATTTCATAAATAAATTTATAAGCAAATTGAAGAACTTAATTTATAACGTTTTAAGTTAATATGCCCCCTTAAGATGTAAGTTTCGTCCTAATCACACACTCAGACGTTGGTAAAGCACTCAGGAGAATGCGAAAGATTAGGTGTAAATTCCTTATATAAATTTCACAAATACACAAGTGTGAGTTTTTATCATATATAATATAATCTTATGAAGACAAAAATAAATTTATCATGAACACGAAATGTGTACAAATTAGTAATTATTCGTATTTAAAATATATTGGATAAAAAAGGTAAATCAAAATAGATGTTGAAGAATAAAAATAAATGGAAATCAAGTGTTCCTTATAACTAAATCCTTTTGAGTTTTTGTTAGCTTATTAAAAGCGAGTTGTGTTGCCATAAGTGATGTCAGACATCCTGTATGAAGGACAGATCAGTTAGCCCTCACTAAAGAGTAAAAACGTCTTTGTATTAAAATGTTACATATTCTTTATATAGAGGTTGACAGAACGTGAAGATCTGAACGGGGCCCCAAGACGTTTGAAGCGTCCATAATTGACGAGCAATACTTACGTTCACAGCTGGGCGGAGGCCCGTTCCAGCGCTCGTCGATGTCGCAGATGAGGTCCGGTCTGCCAATGAGAACGAAGCCCGGCTTGCACTCGTACCTCACCACGCTCATGTAGTAGCGGGTAGCGTTGACCAGGGTGTAGGTGCCGTTGCGGATGGGCGCCGGCGCTCCGCACTCCAGGTCTGCCGGGGGAACAACCTCAGTTAGCAACAGTAACCCAAGCCTCAGTCACTCATGTGTACATCTCTAAAATGCAATCCATTTCAGCAATGATGATGTGATTCTCCCTGTTATGTAGCTATATAGTCGTAATGGACTGGCCCCCTCTCCTGATAATTCCCTCCGTCCTTCCCTGTTGTGTATTATACAGTAATTTCAGTTTTCCGAGGTTATATATGTTCTACTAGACCCGTGACAGCTTCTCTCTGACACAATGTATTCTCGGAATAACATGTATTATTAATACAATAATAGGCTTGGGTTATTCTAAACGAATTGAGTGTTCCCAGACCGAAGCCATACAAGACGCCATAATAAATCTCACATCTACAAGTAGGAGGAAACTCGTTGAAGAAGCCGGAGTTGAGGCAGGAGCGCTGGGAGGGTCCCACCAGGACATGGCCAGGGTCGCAGCGGTACTCCACATCTGTGCCCACGTTGTAGTTGGCCGCCACCATCGTCGAATTGGGCGGCTGCTCCGGCTTGCCGCATGTTTGGGGCCCTGTGGGGCAAAGGTCATATAGGAGCTTGGTGGATAATACGGAAATGGGCGGAACACAGATTGAAAGGATTATGTAAAAAGCTGCTGCTCAGTTACAGCCCCGTTCATGTGCCAGGTAAGGAAATGTATATGTTTATCTCTCAGAATGTTCGGTAATACGGTTATTGCTTGTGGTGTGTGTCTATGTATGTATTAACACGATGTACTGAACGGGGTGAGAATAGCTTGAGCTACCTCATCCCTTTGTGTCTATTTTACCTCAATAAACTTATTTCAATTTCAATGTGCTAGGTAAGTCCAGGACGGGCTCACCACAGCCCGTGCTACTTGGAACGTTTTGTTCCGAGTAGCTGAATCTAAAACAACAACAACAGCTCCTGTTGTGTTGCTCCTTCTCGCCAGTTGAGGTGGTAACGAAAGGGAAGGTGGCAGAGGAGGCAATGCAAAGTAAGAGCGAGTGGGAGGCAACAGAGGGTTAGAGAGGATGCAGCATAAGACAGTGAGGAAAGAAACAAGTTATGAGAGAGGAAGTAACAGCTTACGAGAGCTAACCTGCGCAGGTCAGAGAGGCAACTGTGGGAATGTTAACGGGGCCTGGTGGCACCTTCTCCTTCAAACACCTCAACTTTTCTTAATTCATTACGTTGTAGAAATCTATTTTAACATTATAACAGATTGGCATTAACTATAAACAAATTTATCTTATAACTTCTAAACAATTAAAATGCTACTTCAGAAATAATGAAGTTTCTCCACAAGTCGCCAACGGAGTTTATGCGCTCCGCGACTGGTCTATTTAGTTCAAAAAAACCCGTGAAGACCGTCGCGGCGCAGCGGACCCTGTGACTCACGGTGTTGACAGATGAAGTTGAGGTCGAAGTTGCAGTTGGTGTCGGACCAGAGCCAGCCCTTGGTGCCGTCGAACCTCGCACAGTTCTCGTTCCCGCCAGGCAGGTTCCAGAAGGAGACTGTGACGTCATGACCGTTAATCCACTTCCAGTTGTTAATGTCTTCGGGGTCACGAACGGCGCCCATCCAGTACTGGCCATTGGGGTCACCTCTGTCAAGGTGCACCATAACCAACTCATTAGTGGCTTTAAGTTATGTTAATATATTATCTATGAATTCTAAGCTGTGTCTTGTATCAAATGAATGTATTTTTACATAATAATAATAATAATAATAATAATAATAATAATAATAATAATATTAATAATAATATAAAGGTTTATTAAGTGTTTTTTTCACTGCTCTGAGAATATTAATAAAAAAAATAACAAAGCTTAAATAAAAAAAGGTTCAGGAAAATCATTAGGCAGTTTAATAAATAAATTGTTATTGGGCTGTTTAGCGAAGAAAATAGTATTACGACATTTAAAGAAAATCAATAACAGGTTATTGAGTGAAGCAAAAACGCTATTAGGTTATTAAATGCAGAAAATAATACTGTAACCCAATATCTGAATAAAAATCATATTCGGATATTGATCTGAATAAAATTCTTATTTATTTATTCCTTCCATTCCTATAGTTCTCCTCTTACTATGACTCTGCCTTCTTCATAAAAAGTACTTTTCACCCACTTTATTACTCTTTCCAATATACCACCATGTTTTTTTATACTTCCATAAGAGTCGCTTGTGAGGAACAGTGTCAAAAGCTTTCTGGCAATCCAGGAAAATGCAGTCTACCCAACCCTCTCATCCCTGTATGACTGTTGCCATCTTCGGACAGAACGCTTAATAAATTGGCTAAGCAGGATTTTCGTTTGCTGAATCCATGTTGATTCCAACTGATGATTTGAAATAAAATTTACATTCTAAGTGTTCTACGATCCTTGTTTTAACCAGTCTCTATAACATCTTACAAGGAATACCTATTAGCGTCACCGGCCTATATTGTATAGATGCCGGTGTCGCTAATAGGTAATCCACCACATTAACCACTTTTCAAATTTCAGGTAGTTCTCCTATTTCCCGTGAAGAGCAGAAGGCTTTAGCAAGGGATCATCACTGCTGGCGCAGTTACAGCCTCGCTCCTGTGCCAGGTAAGTTCACTACGGACTCACCATAGCCCGTGCTACTTGCAACTTTTGTTTCGAGTAGCTGAATCTAAAACAACAACTGCTGGCGACATTACCTGTGCTTCAAGCCTCACCTCCGCTGGCCTCCTCACCTGTGTTTGCGCCAGAGTTCCCAGCTGAGGAAGCCCTGCAGGGCCGGGTTGGTCTCGTCCACCAGAGAGCCCCCGCGACTGCGGCAGAACTCGAGGGCGTCGTCGAAGTTGCGAGGCTGCTGGTTGTAGAAGATGTAGCACTTGCCGTTGTACGTGGCAGTGCTTCCTGGGGGCTGGTCACGGAAAGACGGGCACCTCTCGATGGGC